GACAAGAAGTCCGTGGTACAAGGAAGGACTCCGTCTACCCCTCATGAGCTGAAGATTTGATTTTTCTAAAGGATGGTGCCAGACCAAGTGTGGATAATTTTGGAAAATGTAAATGTACTGGGAATTTGGTGGGAGGAGGAGTAGGAAGTGGTTCTGTGTAGTTTTCATTTTCCTTGTGTTTTTTTCTCTTTCTTTTGTAGTTTAGTTTTTGTAGTTTAGTTAATAAAGTTGGTTTTTTTTTCTTTTTCTTTAAGCAGGAGCCTGCTTTGCTTATTTCCGGGTACCACCTCACAGCAGATGCCAGGGAGGGGGGAATTTTCATGGGGGGCACTGGCATTGTGCCAGTGTCAAACCATAACATTATTTGGTTCCCTGACCGGGAATCAAACCCGGGCCGCGGCGGTGAGAGCGCCGAATCCTAACCACTAGACCACCAACTGTCCCGGTGACTCAGGCTGCAGCTAACACTCCAGGCTCGACGCCAGCATCTAAACCCATGGCTGTTGCCACCAGCACTAGAAGTGGGAAATGCACCGACAAGACCAATCGACCAGTGGACGATGATGATGATGATGATGAAGGAGAAGGAACCTCAGTGCCTCCTGACATAAAATCAGGAGTCAAAGCAGCAGGTGCAAGATCAGATGAGTCCTTTTCCCTGAAGGACCTTCGTGGCCTACGGAAGGACTACACTCGAAGGTCTGATGAATCCATAATTAGTTGGCTTGTCCGTCTCTGGGATGCTGCAGGCGAGGCTACAATTCTGGATGGCACTGAAGCCAGGCATTTGGGATCCCTGTCACAGGATCCTGTCATAGACCAAGGAATGATGAGGGGGGCTAACCCTCACAGCCTCTGGGAACGGGTCCTAAGAAGCGTAGCAGAAAGATACCTGTGTGCGGACGATCTCTATATGCAGCAAACTCAGTGGAAGACAATAGAGCAAGGGATCCAATGCCTGAGAGAAATGGCAGTGGCAGAGATTATCTTCTCAGATGATGTAACAACTAGGAACCCAGACTTAGTACCATGCACATCTGTGATGTGGCGAAAACTCATACGACTTGGGCCACACGAATATGCTTCTGCCTTAGCCATCATGAAGAGGGATGAGAGGGATGAGACTGTGCTTGACATGGCAAGGAAGCTCAGAGCATATGCAGATGCTGTACATGGCCTGACACATGCCAGAATCGCAGCGGTAGAAACACGTCTGCAGAACTTAGAGGATAAGATAGAGGAGAACCATAAGAAGCTTAGAGAGGAGATTAAAGAAGACCTTCTCCAAATTTCAGCAGTACAGATCCAAGGTTCTGGTCTCCAAGGCAGATGTTTCCCAGATGGTGAGAGAAGGTACACCCCACGAGCTGAGCTGTGGTTTTACCTGCGTGATTGTGGGGAAAACATGAGAAGGTGGGATAGGAAACCTACTGCTGTTCTGGCACGACGGGTGCGTGAACTGAAGGAAGCCACCAGGAGGAAAGCAGCACCAGTTGCCCGTAGCCGAACGGCCAGGTATGATGATGATGACATGTCTGATCCCCTCGAAGGAACATCCAAAACATACGCCCAGGGAAAGAAGGATAACCAGGCTTAGAGGGGCCCTGCCTCTAGCCAGGTAGAGGCCAGGGAAAATCGTGTTTTCTGGTCTGTGTGGATTCGTTGGCCTGGCACATCGGAGCCACAAGAGTACAAAGCTTCGGTCGATACTGGTGCGCAATGTACATTAATCCCATCAAGACATGTGGGGACAGAGTCTGTTTCTATTGCTGGTGTGACAGGGGGATCCCAGGATTTCACTTTGGTGGAAGCTGATGTGAGCCTAACGGGAAATGAGTGGAAGAAGCATCCTATTGTGACTGGCCCAGAGGCCCCATGTATTTTGGGCATAGACTACCTTCGGAGTGGGTACTTCAAAGACCCAAAAGGACTCAGATGGGCATTTGGAATAGCTGCTGTAGAGACAGAGAGCATCCAGCAATTGAACACCTTGCCTGGGTTGTCTGAGAATCCATCTGCAGTAGGATGCCTGACGGGAGAAGAGCAACGAGTGCCAATTGCCACTTCCATAGTGCATTGACGGCAGTATAGGACCACTCGAGATGCTGTGATCCCCATCCATAAGATGATCCGAGAGCTGGAGAGCCAAGGGGTGGTCAGCAAGACCCACTCACCCTTCAACAGCCCCATTTGGCCTGTGCGAAAATCTGAAGGAGAATGGAGATTGACTGTGGACTACCGTGCACTGAATGAAGTGACTCCACCACTGAGTGCTGCCGTGCCAGACATATTAGAGCTCCAGTATGAGCTTGAGTCCAAGGCAGCAAAGTGGTATGCCACTATAGACATTGCCAATGCATTTTTCTCCATTCCTCTGGCAGCAGAATGCAGGCCTCAGTTTGCCTTCACATGGAGGGGAGTGCAGTACACCTGGAACCGACTGCCCCAGGGATGGAAGCACAGCCCCACCATCTGCCATGGACTGATCCAGACTGCACTAGAAAGGGGAGAGGCTCCAGAACATCTGCAGTATATTGATGACATCATTGTGTGGGGGAACACAGCTGCGGAAGTGTTTGAGAAAGGGAAGGAAATCATCCAGATCCTCCTGGGAGCTGGTTTCGCCATTAAAAAGAGCAAAGTAAAGGGACCAGCTCTTGAGATTCAATTCCTGGGAGTGAAGTGGCAAGATGGACCGCGTCAGATTCCTACAGATGTCATCAACAAGATCACAGCAATGTCTCCACCCACCAATAAGAAAGAGACACAAGCTTTCTTGCGTGCAACAGGTTTTTGGAGGATGCATATTCCTGAGTACAGTCAGATCGTGAGCCCTCTTTACCTGGTCACCCGCAAGAAGAACAATTTCCAGTGGGGCCCTGAGCAGCAGCAAGCCTTTGTCCAGATCAAGCAGGAGATTGCCCATGCAGTAGCCCTTGGCCCGGTCAGGACAGGACCAGAGGTAAAGAACATGCTCTACTCTGCAGCCGGGAACCATGGCTTGTCCTGGAGCCTTTGGCAGAAGGTGCCTGAGGAGACTCGGGGTCGACCACTGGGATTTTGGAGTCGAAGCTACAGAGGGTCTGAAGCCAACTACACTCCAACAGAGAAAGAAATCCTGGCTGCCTATGAAGGAGTCCAGGCTGCCTCGGAGGTAATAGGCACTGAAGCACAACTCCTCCTGGCACCCCGACTACCGGTGCTGGGGTGGATGTTCAAAGGCAAGGTTCCTTCCACTCACCATGCCACCAGTGCTACATGGAGCAAGTGGATTGCTCTCATCACTCAGCGCACCCGTATAGGTAAACTGAATCGCCCTGGGATTTTGGAGGTCATTACAAATTGGCCCGAAGGTGAGAATTTTGGTGTCACAGATGAAGAGGAACAAGAACCAGTGACACGTGCTGAAGAGGCTCCTCCCTATAACCAACTGCTCCCAGAGGAAACACACTACGCTCTTTTCACTGACGGTTCCTGTTGCATTGTAGGGATGAACCGGAAGTGGAAAGCAGCCGTATGGAGCCCCACAGGACAGGTTGCACAAGCTACTGAAGGAGAAGGTGGATCAAGCCAACTTGCTGAACTCAAAGCTGTTCAACTGGCCCTGGACATTGCTGAGAGAGAGAAGTGGCCAAAGCTCTACCTCTACACTGACTCATGGCTGGTAGCCCGCCCCACATCTCGGCACCCTGGGCCCCGCATCCCGCACCCCGGCAGGGGCTCCGGAACACCGCCAGCCAGGCTCTGGAGTGGCTGCTGATCCGTGCACCGGGATCGCTGCTCGCCGCCAGGCTCTTGCTCTGTGCTTCCCCCGGGCTCACAGTGCTCATTCGTCACTTGTACGAGCTGGTGAGGGTGGTTTAGAAGCGTTGGAAGCCGAGATACAGGCAGGCATGGAGTCCTCTGCACGCTGGCTGGATTTGTGGTTGTTTCACAGAACCACGGAATCCCAGAATAGTTAGGGCTGGAAGAGTCCTCTGGAGACTATTTAGTCCAATCCCCTGCCAAGGCAGTGGCACCTGTCCTTTTGTTTGGCACACAAGTGCCAATAATCTTAAATTAGTACTTTCCTTCCTTCTGTTGCTTATCTTTTACCACCTCTTTTCTTCCCTTCTGCTGCTCCTTTTTAAAATTCTCCTCATCCTCACATTCCCACCACCTTCCTTGCTCTCCCGTGCCATCTGACGCCTCACCCTCGTGGTATCTGTTCCTAACTGGACCCCAAATCTCCTGGGCTCCTCAAGAGAGACGTGGAGCTCCTGGAGTGGGTCCAGTGCACGCTACCAGAATGACTGGGGGACTGGAGCATCCTCCTCTCAAGGGAAGCTGGGTCTGCTCAGCCTCGGGAAGAGATGAGTGAGAGGGTCCTTCATCCCTTCATCCCTTTTGGACGTGTACAAATGTCAAAAAAAGGTGTCAGAGCATGGATCAGGCTCTGCTTGGTGGTACCCAGCAATGTGACATGAGGCAAGGGGCAGAAAATGATGCCCTGGAAGTTCCATCTGAACATGGAGGTGTGTCAGGGCGGAGATGAGGGAAAGGTTCTTCCCCCAGAGGGTGGTGGGGCACTGAACAGGCTCTGCCAGAGCTCCAGGGGAGTTTGGACAGCACCCCACGGATGCCCAGGGTGAGACTGTTGGGGTGTGTGTGCAGGGCAGGGGTGGCGCTGGGTGATCCTGTGGGTCCCTTCCATCGCAGGGGATTCTGTGATTCTATGATGAGCTTCTTCAGTGAACACTGAACACACTGCCCAGAGAGGGTGCGGAGCGGAGCTCACCGGACCTGTCCCAGCAGTGTCTGTACAATCCCGTGTCCCAGGCTCTGGGATGACCCCGAGGCAGGACAGGATGACCACTGTGGCCCCTTCCACCCTACCCGGTGTTACCTCCAATGCCCTCTCTCCCTTCCACGGACTGACACCGTCCCTCCAGCCTCCCCCAGGGCTGGGGCTGTCCCCTCCCGCTCCCGGGCGAGCAGGGGCCGGGCCCCTCTGGCCGTACCTGCGAGGCAGGCGGCGGCGTCCATCCATCGCAGAAGCAGCCCCGCGCCCAGCTCCCTGCGGGGCCCGGCGTGGGCAGGCAGCATGGCCCGGCACATGTACGCAGCCATGGAGGAATGCTGCCCGCTCCACCTGGCACCGCCGCCGCCTCAGCCATGGGGGGGACCGGCCCGCCCGGCGCCGCGGCATAGGGCGGAATCGCCTCCACCGGCCTCCCCGCGGAGGCGGGACGGGCTGAGGGGAAAGAGAGCCCGGGCTGAAGGGAAAGAGCCTGGAGAGAGGGGCAAGGCGTGGCCAGGATTAGGGAAAAAGGGTACTCAGTATGAGGAGAAAGGGAGCCCGGGTTGAGGGATTAAGGGGTACCTGGGATGAAGGAAGGAGTGGGATGGGGCTGAGGGGAAAGGAGGGCCCGGGGTGAGGGGAAAGGGCATTTAAGGATGCGGGGCCGAAAATGAGGTGCTGAGGGGAAGAGGGTATCTGGGATGAGGGGAAAGGAGTGTCTGGGGCTGAGGGGATAGAGGTAGCAGGGGTGAGGGGAAAAGGATGAGAGTAAGGGGATGTTGGAGATGAGAGGGTGGATGCCAGTGCTGGGGGAATCATGGACTTGTTTTGGTTGGAAGGGGCCTTAAAGCCCACACAGTGCCATCCCTGCCATGGCAGGGACACCTCCCACTGTCCCCCAATATCCAGCCTGGCCTTGGGCACTGCCAGGGATCAGGGGCTGCCCTGTTCCAGGGCCTGCCCACCCTGCCAGGGGACAATTCCTAATTCCCAATATCCCATCTTCACCTACTATCTCAGTTTGAAGCCCTTCCGCCTTGTTCTGCCACTGCCTGCCCTGGTACAAAGTCTCTCACCGGCTCTCTTTAGACACTTAGGTAATGGAGAGTGCTTTCAGGTCTCCCTGCAGCCTTCACCTCTCCAGGCTGAGCAGCTCCAGTGAAGGGGGTGCCAGGGCACCAGAGACTGGATGTTCCCTCCACTCCTGCCCCAGGACTCCTGAGGTCACCTCACCGCCTGGCAGCAGCCACAGCTAGGTTTTGTCTTTTCACTGTGACTGAAATGCCTCAAAACTGGCTTATATTTTCATTTTTATTTCTCTTTTGGTGCCATGCCCTCTCGTGCTGTCACCAACTTGACATCCCAGCAGATGCATCCAGGACAGACACGTTCCCATTCCAAAGGCAGTGGAACCAGCATGGATTTTTGGATTCCCACCTCTGTGGCCATGGCCCTGGTCACGTATTCCTGCAGGAGTCAACAGCTCGAGAGCCCACAAAGAGCTCCTCCTCTTACCTCCTCCTCCTCACACGGCTGATAAGGATACTGCTGCCCCTGCACACAGTGAAAATACAAGCTCTGCTGAGGAAGAGCTTCTGAGCTGTCGGGAGGGTCAAGGTTTTACTTTTGCCATGGATACAGTGTTATTGCTGCTGAAGGCTCAGCCGCTTTGGGGATGCTCAGTGCCTGGGCTTGTTAGTGTTGGTGAGGCAGATGTTTTACTGCAATGTAGCAGAGGGTATAAACTGTAAATGGTTTTCAGGAAAGAATGCAAGGCTTATATTTGACTATTGTGCTGTGTGGTTTCACTGCAGCACCAGGACTGTTTTCTGTAGCCCTTCCTTACAACCTTTCCTCCTGGTAGTTACTGTTCCAGAGAGGGCTCCCCATGTTTCTCAGAAACATACATCCATGAGTTTACATCGCGAACACTTGTTCATTTAAACATTGTTAAAGATCCAGCTTTAACCTATAACAATGACGTGGTTTGACAGGAATTCTCGGATGCTGGGGTCACACCACCAATGGGTGCTCCAATTTTAATATTGGCACCTGGTTTGGCCACTGGGATTTGGATACGCCTCTGAGAACACAGAGGTTAAAAGCAGAGGTCCCCCACTGGGAAGCCCTCTTGGGATTTCGTCAAGGGGAGCCAGTCAGACCTCCCCTGCCCAGCTGTCCGCTGCTGGGCAGGAGAGGGGAAAGCCACGCGGCCGGGAGCTAGGCTGGGCCTGGGACAGAGATGGGAGGTAGGTCTGGCCCAAGGGTGGAAGGGAGAGACACGGAGAGCCATTGGGCAGTCCCCTCCCCCCCGTCATCAGGGTAGGGAGGCTACCTGTGAAAGTCCGCCATGTAGGTGCCCATGTACCCAAGAGTAGGGCCAATGAGGAGCACCAAAACAATGAGCAGGTAGACCAAGCTGCAAAGATAGGGGTGTCCAAAATAGACCTAGATTGGGAATGTAAGGGAGAGTTATTCCTAGCTAGATGGGCCCATGATGCCTCAGGCCACCAGGGCAGAGATGCCACCTGTAAATGGGCACGAGACCGAGGGGTGGATTTAACCATGGACAGTATTTCTCAGGTTATCCATGACTGTGAGACGTGTGCTGCCGTCAAGCAGGCCAAGCGAGTGAAGCCCCTGTGGTACGGTGGGCGGTGGTCCAAGTACAAGTATGGGGAGGCCTGGCAGATTGACTACATCACACTGCCCCAGACACGCCAGGGCAAGCGCTACATGCTGACCATGGTGGAAGCCACCACTGGATGGTTGGAAACCTACCCTGTGTCTCATGCTACAGCCCAGAACACCATCCTGGGCCTTGAAAAGCAAGTTCTGTGGAGACATGGCACCCCTGAGAGGATCGAGTCAGACAATGGGACTCATTTCAAGAACAGCCTTATCAACACCTGGGCTAGGGAACATGGCATTGAGTGGGTGTACCATATCCCCTACCATGCACCAGCTGCAGGAAAAGTGGAGAGGTACAATGGACTACTAAAAACCCAGTTGAAAGCTTTGGGTGGGGGATCTTTCAAGAATTGGGAGCAGCATTTAACAAAGGCCACCTGGTTAGTCAACACCCGAGGTTCCATCAACCGAGCAGGTCCTCCCCAGTCTGAGTCCCTGAATGTAATAGAAGGAGACAAAGTCCCAGTGGTACATATCAGAGGTTTGTTAGGGAAGACTGTGTGGATTAATTCTGCCTCGAGTACAGACAAACCCATTCGTGGGGTTGTCTTTGCTCAGGGACCAGGTTGCACGTGGTGGATAATGCAAAGAGATGGAACAACACGATGTGTACCTCAGGGAGATCTGATTGTGGGATAAGAATGATATGCAATATCACTGTTCATTGGATGTTACTGCCATGGTCTGTACATTAAACCATACAGACATGAGATAGAAGGAAATGTGTAAGAGTTGAAGGTCTGGGCAAGTGGAAGATGGAGAAGGAAATGTGTAAGTGTCAAAAGTCTGAGCAAGTGATAGATGGAGCTTTAAGTGACTAAAGTGAAAAGGGGGAATCCTGCAGCTCTGTAATATAGGGCCTGGATTCAGTGGTCCAGTGTGGGGATGTGATGAAGGCATGATGGGTATTGCTTGTAATTTTGGGGAAACAGATGGAAATTTTGTATGAATAATGCATGATGTGTTGTAGTATGTTGATGATATGGGGATAAGGGGTGGAATGTCCTGGGGTCACGTTATGATGCTTGTATCCCCATTCATCTGTTCTGTGCCTTTAAGACTGGCTCTGAAGAGTGGAAGTTTTGTTTGGGTTTCTCTTATCAGGGACACAGAGACAGGCAGTACATAGGGCTGTTTTTCACTTCTTGCTTTCAGCTTGCTGCTTTGCTTGCTTGCTTTTCTGCTCTTGCTTCTGCTCTCGCTTTTGCTTCTGCTTATTAGCTAGTTCTAACTAAACAGTCCAAATTCCTTCCTGGACTGTTTCTCCTCTCCTGTTCCTGTGACCATCTCGAACCTGCTCCGGACTGGGACCTGGGAACACCGAAGGTTTGGCTGCAGCAGCTGCCCAGCGCCGGAGGGACTGAGAACAGAGCAACCACCCCCAAAGGAGACTTTCTGATTTTGTCATCTTTCTCAGAGCGGTGTCATCGAGTATTGTTCATTTTGTGTGCTGGGGGGTGCTGTGCCTGAAATAAACAGGTTCTTTCCACCTCTCTCCAAGGAATTTTTTCCCGAACCGGTTGGGGGTAGGGGCCATGTGGGTGTTTCTTTCTGGAGGGGCCCTCCTTTGCAGATTCTTTAACAAATTTGCCCTAAACCAGGACAGACATTTAACATATACATAATCTCCAGGCTGTATGTTATGTACTGGTCCATCCAGATCTCTGCTCTGAGTTCCAGACATGTTTTTCAATTTCTTTGAGTTGTTAGTTGTTTACTTTGGGCCACCATGTAGGTGGCCAGTGTCACCTCCCCAATGAGGGTAGACATTCCTTTTTGCACTCCATATGATCTCCCATAAAGCATTTCAAAAAGGACTTAATCTTTCTTTGCTTCTAGGTTTAGTCCGGATCTGTAGCAATGCCAGTGGAAGAGCTTGGGGCCAGGGTAAATTAGCTTCTTGCCCTAGCCTCACTAATTGCTGCTTAATCAAATGGCTCATTTTCTCCACTTGGCCACTTGCCTGAAGGTGATATGGAGTGTGGGGTTTTCAATCTATGCCTAGGTGGTGACTAATTTGCTGCACTATTCCTGAAATAAAATGTGATCCTCTATCTGAAGATACTGTGGCTGGAACTCCAAAGCGTAGTATTATTTCCTGTAACAATACCCTGGTTACTTCCCAAGCTTTGGCAGTTCTGGTGGGGAAAGCTTCTGGCCACCCTGAAAAAGTATCTGTTCATACCAACAAATATCAATACTCCCCTTTTCTTGGGAGTTCTGAAAAGTCTATTTGCCACTGCTGTCTGGGCCCACAGCCCCTCCCAGTTTGACCAAATTTTGATTTGGGGGTGTTCTTGGGGTTAATCTGGAGGTAAAGGTTGCACTGCTGAGTCACATGACTGAGAGTAGCATATAAATTTCTGGCAACAATACTTTCAATCAGATAATTATTCAGGGCATCTATTCCCCAGTGAGTTTTCTGATGTTCCCCTCTTACCATTTGTGAGAGTCTGTCAGAATTTTCCCTCATCTGCCTCACGATCGTCCTTGGGAGACCACTGAAGAGAAGACCCTCCTGTATATATCTGGCTCTGAAGGAGAAAAGTCACACGTCATGGGCCCTGAGACCTGAAAGCTCAGTGTTAAGCTATTGTTTTCACAAGTGTGTTTGCTGTATGCTAAG